AGTTTTAGCCTGATGCTATCCTCTCCACTTTAACAGACACTGGTTAAAAGCCCTGGTAAATCCGCCAAACCGCTAAACGTTCCACGTTGATGGGGGCGTTGTTCCTTGCACATTGGCCAGCGCCGGCACAGAAAGACCAAAGCACATCTTGCTTTTGTAATCTATGTTGCTTGTGGTTGACCATTTTCTCTTTCCGAGTGCTTCAGCAAGGTCTCAAGACAGATATGATCCAGTCTTCGATGGTGCTCACTAAGCCATATTATTGCACTTCGTGGCTTGCGACGCCTCTATCGAGCTAGAATCTGTGGTGCCAATCTAGAGAAGCGTTGGCCTCAGGTTCGGAAATAATAAAGACACTACTCTGAACATCCGAAGTTTCAGCGGGGCTGCCATAGCTCTTTCGCCTAGAGGAAGTTAAGCTACGGTCGATGACCTTTCATTGTATACAAGAATCAGTATGAAGGTTACGGATCGCAATCCGCTTACTCCAAAAGTAACCACAACCTTAACGGAAAAAAATATTTTTTTCCATTCAAGATGTAAACTGCATATCTTGTTTTTATTTTCGGCCAAGCCGCATATCTAAGTCTATAAGATTTCCTGTTCCAATAGTAAAAACTACTAAAAATGCATAACCACTGGCAGTCCAGCCACGTGGTGGCTTCTTGATAAGGTAAAGACTCATCATTGTGTGGTAAAACCAGCTTGTGTGACCCACCCTTCAAACCAGGGTACGTGTATACCCGTTACACTCTCCCCCATCAACATTTTGAACACGTTTTACTGTCGCCTTTACGAGGGTTGCGTGTCGAAGACACCTCTACGTCCCCAGACCTTCTTCACGTACTCTAAGCTCAATTAGTTCTGTGTCAAATGACACAAAAGACACTCAGCCTTGCTGGTTTTGAGTGACCTTGACCAGGATGTGTCTACCGTAGACGATAGCGCACAGCTCAAAATACTCGTCAACGGTATGACGGGGAGGAAGACAGCGACGCCACCCCGAGGCTATTCCTGGGGTGGATGCTCTTCTTTAGCTGGACGAGATGTCATTCGAAGGGCTCGGCAGCGCCTTGAAGGCAGGCGACTTAGCCGAAGTGGGCATTATATGACCGAACGAGGAGATCAACTCTTTGTCGCTTCTGGATGAAGCTGTTGTGAAGGAAATCACGAGGGTGGTGAACGCATGAAATGGATCTTCGAAACTGAGAAATTATCCGGATCAACACTATGCATTGGAATAGAAAATCAAGACGCCGTCTCCAATGTCCCGCCGTCGGTTTTATCACCGGACTAAGGTGTCCGTCATGAGATCGACCTGATTTCGGGAACCAAATACAGCACAACACGCGTATGGCTCCTGCTTATGGAGCAGTGTGACGTCAAAGACGCCTTTTTCGTGCAAAGCGCGACGCAGGATGATGTGGGAGAGCAAGTCTTCCCGTTCGACACCCTTGTTTTGTGTCTGGATACAGAACGGCAAGCGGCACAGACGCCGATTCCTAGAAAGGATGTTCTTCAAAACAATATGGTTGGCTGTACAAAGTACAGCACTTTCGGCTTGGTCGGAGGGTATTACCAATTGCTCATGAGAGCACGTGATATTCCGCTGACAGCGGTGAGTACTCCGAGCGGCATGTTCTGGGAGTGGCAGAA